GGATCGAATTCATGCTGCAGTAGCTGTGGAGAGCTTCATATTGCGGTTTTTTTAAGCCCTTGTACCACCCAGGAGGGTCCAGTGTTAGAAATTTAGTAGGAAGCTGAAAGAGAACTGAAGGAGGCAGGATTTTTCATAATCTTTGGAAGAAGGTTAAACAGATGATTATCCTTGATTGTGCAGCAAAAACAGTACAGGTTACTTAACATGAAAGCGACTTGTGACATTAACTGTTCTCGATCTGAACTCTGATGAACTTATGATGCCTAAGAAAATCACACCTTGTTGAGCTACAGACTTTCTGTGGCAACTTTAGCAGGTGTGTTCCAGTCAAGATAAAAATAACAGCTTACAAGTCAGCATCCCAGATGAAAAGGAGTCGGCTGACTGCAAAGTCTCTAGGTCTGTGAACTACCTAACTACTGAAAAATAGCTCACATATTAGATGCAGTGTTTTGATATATGTGCTGTCATATATATTTTATGAGACAATGAGCTATTTCCAGGTATAAGCAGAATTGAACAAAAGAGATCTACTGACAAATGCAAAGTGTAAGCAAAAATACACAGTCAGGCTCTACTATTGTTAATACCGTCCCTTTGCCATTCACTAGTTTACGCTAGGGCATATACAAATATTTTGCTGAGTATTAGCTTGGTTCCCATCATTTTCCAATAGTATGCTTTTAAGGAAAATTTTCTTGTTTGCAATGGATTTAAAGAATATCCATTCAACCATGTTTCCACCTTAACAGCAACAAAAAAGAAATGTCATTAGAGTTCATGAAAGACAATAATAGCTCAAAGCTCAGGAGAAACCCTGTGATTAGAAGTTCCATGTAGACATCAGCAGAGGAATCACAGCCTCCAATAGCAGTTTCAATCAGGGCCATGCATTAGATCACCTGAGAAATAAAGAGTCAGAAAGAGATGTTCAGGCCTTTTCCATGCTACTGTATTTTAAACATTTCCAAGACTAAGACTGATGAACATCCAGTATGAAGAACTTCTGATCTATTGGAACCAAAATAAGCTCTGTGAGTACCTTTGATGAGAAGGCTTCTTGATGTTCTATACTCCTCACTCCTGTGCCTGGATATATACATAACTTGGATGGTTTGCCAGAAATTCATGCTAATGTCAACGAAACAACCAAATGCCAGAATGAGTGAGAAACCAGGCATGAAGTAAATTTATAAATTGGGGTTTACACAGTCAACACTAGTGAAATTTGGGGCCAGAAAATTCTCTGCCCTGGGAAAGGCCTGAGCATTATAGTATGCAACATCCCGTGCTTAGTAGACACCAGGTTTACAATCCAAACCTCTCAGTGATCCTTTGTTCAGAGATGAAGACGCCCACGTTTGAGAGCTACCATGCTAATATGAGACAATCGCAACTCAAAAAGACAAGCAGTGGAGCAGATGGATATGCTAACACTGTGCTTGCAGAATTAAGTGTTGAACTCAGGGTAAAGGAATCTATATAATGCAAAGTTTGATGTGAGAAAAATACTTAAGTTATTATAAAAATTACTTGAAAACACCTAATTCTTATTCATAATTACATGCTATGCCATCGCTGTGGATCCAAATTACCTAAGTACAATACGGATCAAACAGTTATTTAATAACATTGTGAGGCCCTCCTTAGTGGTGCAATGCCCACTGCACCCACTAAGCACACACTAGGAAGTTCTCCGCAGCCACTACAGTTTATGTTCGATCACTGGCCAGGGAGCTGACCCACATGGTGTAGCAGAGCTCTCCTGACCCTCCCACTGCTCCCCTCAGTAGTGTATTTCAGTACAATTGCCTGTTCTGCTCCCCAAACTGTCTCTGTTAAGTCCTCTCACCTCCCACACTTTTGGCATGTACGCCAGTTCTTGTATGCATAAAGAAGTAAATCTTTTAGAAAATAACATTGTGTTATGATCAGGGAAGCTTGATCCACAATTGCTAAAACTTTGAAGCAACCAAGTAATCCTTCAGCAGGTGAATGGCTAGATCAACTTTTGTTCTTCTAGACAATGGAATATTACTCAGCACTTAGAAGAAATGAATTATAAGTCTTAGAAGAAACTTGCATGCACGCTACTAGGTGAGAGAAGGCTATGGGATGAGAGATTCCAACTATAATACATGCTAAATGAGAAAAACTATCATCACAGGAGAAGATGCATGAATGTCAGGTGTTAGGCTCCAGAATAAGAATGCGTGGAGTTTGGTGGATTTCAGGGTAGTAAAAATACTCTGAATGATACTGTAATGATAAATACATGCCATTATTCATTTGCTCAAAAATCATGAAAATGCATGAAGCCAAACATGAACTCTAATGTCAACTATTTGATGATGCTGTAACATATAGGTTCACTGGCTGTGACCCATGGGCAACTTGGTGTGGGATTTTGATAGTGAATGAAGAATTTGGATAGGAATGTGGAATTTTCCTAAAGTATGCAGAACTTTGATAGAGAATGTGGGATCTTGATAGAGAATGTATCTTATTACAGATGTCAAGGTCATATACATAACATGCAAGGGCAGTGGGTGAGCAGAGAATCTCTGTACCTTCTGCTTGATTCTGAGATGAACCTAAGATCACTCTAGGAAATCTATTAAAATACTTACTATGTTTTTTTCCCCCCCTTCTTACCTTGTATTAGTCTTATTTAACAAATCCATTCTGTTTGATCACCCCTAGCCCTAACCCGAAAGTGCTGAAGCCACATTCTCAGCTGGCCTCCTGCTGTCACTGTGGGGTCAGCTAGGGGTGACTGGAAGCCTGGCCAGGCTTGCTGCCTCTGCAGACTGAGAAGGCTCTACTGCTTTTGTCTCTGTTCTCTGTGTGTGTGGGGGGGAAGGGCTGGAAGATGGGGTACTAAACAAGTAGGGGGCCACTCGGGAGGGCTGACTCCCTGCTGGGTTGTCTCTGGAGGTGCCCACGCAGCTGCCACCCTTCAGGTCTGCTGGTTGACACAACTGTGACTACTATGCGAAAGAACGAGGTTTGTGTTTGTGCTTTACCAATTCTTGGCGGTCTCGCTGGATGCTTGAATGGCACACAGATCCTTAATAGCTACACCTAGGCCCTCCCTGGTGGCGCAG